GAGAGAGAGAGAGAGAGGGAGAAAGAGGGGGAGGGGGTGAGAGGGAATGAGAGAGAGAGAGGGGGAGGGAGAGAAAGGAAAGTGGATAGGGGATCGTAAAAGGGAGAGAGAGGAAGGAAAGGGGAGCAAGAGAGTGGAAAGGGAGGAGAGCGCTAGGGGAGTAGTCGAATTTGGTACCTGATAGGATCGGGAACCTGAACGGATCGGGAGCCTGATTGGTTCGGGAGCCTGATCGGATCAGGAACCTGATCGGATCGGGATACGGATAGGATCGGGAGCTTGATCAGGAGTTGGAAAGAAAAAAAAAGAAAAAAAAAAAAGGGAAAGGGACCATAGGGACCAGTTGAGGGCGAGTGAGAGGGAACTACCCAGTCAAGCCGAGCCGGGGAAGACAAGGAAGGGTAGGTAAGTCGAAAAAGGGGCATCTGGAACGGGCGGGCAGATCGCGCTGGAAACAGGAGGGAGGGAAGAACGCAAGAAAGAGGGGGGGTAGGGGCGGGAGAGAGAGAAGAAGAGAGAGAGGGCGAGGGAGGGAGAGAGAAAGATATCAGGATTAAAACAGGGGCGTTGCGAGGAAGAGGGCAGTGAGGAGGTAAACGAGGTGTAAGCGAGAGAGGGAGTGGGGGAGGGGGAAGAGGGGGGTGAGGGAGAGTGCAGGAGTGGGGTTGGAAAAATGAAAAAAGGGGGCCTGTTGGGGTAAAGCAGGGTGGGAATCAGGATCAAATCTTAGGCAAAATGCCGTTTACTTACGCTATGGTGGTTCAGAAGGCAATGTCGGATGGGGAAAGGGGGGACAAAGGAGGCCCAAAACCGACAGGAGGAGGGGGGGGGGGGAAAGCTGCAGGACAAAATCCCAGAATTCAGCGACGTCGGGCATCAGGCTCACACAGTCGAAAGCCCTGGGACAAAGAGCATTGGACTTTATCATGGAAAAGACGAAAATTACAGCCCCAGTTAAAATCACAAAGGAAGTCATTAAAGGGCAGGAGGGTAAAGAAGAGGAGGTCGACATTTGGGAATACCCGGAGCAAGATCTGCAGACGCTTCATGAACTCTACGAAAGACACGCAGTGCTATTCAATTTCTCGGGCAAGAATCGTGAGCTTTCATTGAACGAAAAAAGGAAGTGGGTAATGGAGAGACTCAGGGGACTAGAGAGCATTCCAAGGATTGAACCAGAAGTTTCATATCACAAGCGGGGAAGATTCACGGTTATGATAGTCTGCGTGGATCCGGCGTATGCTCAATACCTGCGGTCGTTGGGTTCCCTCTGGTGCCACGGGTCGATGGTGACGATCCAAGCATGGAAACCACCACAGCCGCCACCAGCGGAGGCTTCAAGGCACAGGCAGTCAATGATGAGGGACAACTTCTGGGTGCAGTTTGACAACCTCTCAGAAGGGATGCACAGCCTCGTGCAGCAGCGCCTGAGGAAGAATACCCAAACAACCCCATCATAGAATGGCTCCCGACAAATCCCGACTTTCTGGCTCCAAACCACGATTCCAGGGTCGCGTGCCTAGAAGTGAAATCCGGGGCGCCGCCGAAATTCCCCGAGGTATGGATCTTCAGAAGAAGGACGSARCGCATCACGGTGTTCATATSCTCTAAATCCAATCCATTCTGCTTCAAGTGCAGAGCAAGGGGTCACTTAGGAATGCATTGCCCACAATCGAGTACTGGTTCGAGCGCAGGTTCGGGGGGGAGGCAACCACAACTAAAACAATCAATGTTAATCGGGGCGGACAACAAGCCAGGGGTTTGGTACATAAACTCAGCACAATACAGAGGTTGGATCTTCGACGACAATCTAGAAACGCCAAGATGGATATGGGTCCTGAGCGGTACACCCACGCTGAAGCCAGACATTTACCCACCTTACGACAACCGTTGGAGACTAGCAGGGGCAAAGCGTATGGAGGACAAAGATGTGGGCTACATCCACAAACCGATGATAGACGAGGACACAGTACTGGATGACAAACAACGTTTGCAGACCATGGTCGAACTGCATAAGCTGGGACAAGAAGCTGAAATGGCCTTTATGGAGAACAAAAGAGCAAGGGAGGAGGCCGAGAAATCAGCGGAGGGGGGCAAGGGGAGAGGGGAAGAAGAAGAAGTGGGGGGCAGCAAAACCTCGAGTCAAAGTGGGGGACTGCGCGGGGAGGGGACAGGGGAGACAAGGGTCAGCAAGGCAAGAGAGGAGGGGACTCGCAGGGGACATCCAAAAGGAAGATGACTGACAGAGAAACAACTACGGGGGGTAATGCGAGCCATGACACAAAAAGACCTCATACGGACAAGAGGGAAGAGGAAGCTTCAGTGTCGCAGGGCCAAGTCCACGGATCAGGCATGAGGGAGGAGGGGCAAGGGGAGGCCAAGGCACAAAGTGAGGGGATGGACATAACTCCATCGGGAGCGGAGGATTCGTCATCATCTTCGTCATCTTCTTCTTCGGACCAACACACACGCCCAGGTTCACCATCAGCAGGTAACAGCCCGTCAGGCAGTGCACGGATGGACAGTGGGGAAAACGTAATGGCAGAACCACTAGAAGACTCAAAAGGGATATGGATAGCGGGGAAGATGTTAGAATGTCACAGGACTCGGGAGAGGACTCAGGAGAGGACACTGAAGAGGAGGAGTGGGAGGATGCGGAAGAGGAGGAGGAACTGGAAACGCTGGCCCAGTGGATCAGAACGGTACACAAGCTGAAGTGGGAAAGACACGTCGAATGTGAAGTACGGTTGGCGCATCATAAGCATCTACGCAACCTGAAGCAGGCTACTTCAGTTGGGGATGATATTACCTCAACAAACAGATTTGAATGGTTGAGGAAAGAGCAGGAGGTCAACGAGTTCTACGCATCACAGTATGCTTGGAAGGTCCACCTAAACAGCAACAACATTTCGGTGCACAACGGGAACTACGCCAAGCAGTTTATATGGCCCAAAACGTACCAACCTCAGAGGTTGAAAAGGTCAGAGCAAAAAAGGAAAGCGCATCAGGAAACTGAGGACAAAGAGGGAAGTGGGTCCCAGGGAGCAGAAAGCCCAGCTCAAGGGACGGAGGAGAAAGAACAGATCGAGGAGGAGATGAGACAAGCAGCGATCCTGGAGGCTCAAATCAACGTCCTCAAGGACCAAAACAGAGAATTGGAGGAGGATACCATCAATCTGCTAAAGATAGCCTACTCTCCGCAGGGTGACATAAACGCAGCAGCCAAGCTCTTTGCAAGGCACAACCCGGGGAGGAGAGTCATCATAATGTACCGCTGGAACAGCGACAACTCGGACTGGGAGGTGGCCATACACAAGACACTGGCTCTAATCTCTACAAAGGATAGTCACTGCTCGCAGGATAGGCTCAAGGACCAAATCTCAAGGGATCTCCTGGACATGGCTCAGGTGGTAGGGAGCCTTTCCCAAGATCGGGAGGAGTGGCAGGACACGGCAGGTGGTAAGCAAACAGTTGACTACAGACCCATTCTACTCAGAATGCAAGAGAAGGCAAAGCTGACGGAGGGATTAATATGGATGCCTTGGCAGGTGGTGGAGGCAATACCATATGGGCTACTGGGGGGCACGGAGGCAGCGGAATGGGTGGCTAAGGGGGCAGCCATTCTCTCCAAGGTAGATGTTTTCTCGGGGACGCCAGAGGGTATGGACACTATGTTAGCAGCCGTGGCGGCTGATTGGGAGTGGCCACAAGAGGGCTCGTGAAGAAATGCTCGTTAGTGGACCATATTTAGGGAATAGTATAAATGGCAGGGGAAGGGTTAGAGGATAGAACCAAGAGAAGAAGATTGTCGTCACGAGAAGGGGGAAGAGAACCGGAAATCAGAGTTGTGTCTTGGAACGTTAATGGCATGGCACAGATTTTAGACAATAAGGATAAATGGAATAATTTATTGAGGGCCACGGATTGGTTCGAGAGGAACCCCCTAGACTTTTTATGTCTTCAAGAAACCCACCTCACTGACTCGCCGGCACATCGAAAGACGCAGCAACACATAGAAAAGCAGCTCAGGTGGGTGAAGGCTAGTTTTTGGGCCGTGGCAAATAGACCGCACTCAGCAGGAGTGGTAATTCTGTTGAATAGGAGGTCGGCTGCAGCAAACAAGTTGTCGCTGTTAGATGCCTCGATGGATGAAGAGGAGGGACGATGGGTGAAGCTCAACTTCTCTTATCAGGAGGAACAATTCTCGTTAGTCACAGTCTATTGCCACAACTCTTACCAGAGTAGAGCAGAAATGCTTCGGTCAGTACAATCCCACTTGGAGTCAACGAGACATGTCATACTGGCAGGGGACTGGAATGCCACTCTTGACCCAGGTTTAGATAGGATAATGGGGGGAAGATCAGGATCAGGGGATGAGCCTCCGTGCGAAGAGGCCTTACCAATTCACACACTCATGATAGCCCAGGGGCTTATTGACCCATTCCGTCTTCACTACCCAAACCTGAAACGATACACCTACTACAAAAGGAATCGCAGCCAGCACATGTCAGCCTCTAGAATAGATTACTTCCTAGTGTCGGAAGAGCTGATAGGGTCTATTCACTCGATCGAAATAGGTGAGCTGCCGCACTGCACATGTCTGGACCACAAACCTGTGACGCTAGAGCTGACCCTAAATAAACATATCCAGAGGGGTAGAAGTTTCTATAAGATAAACAATTCTCTGCTAAAAACTCCAGAGCTTAGAGAGGCCATACTACACGTATGCCTGAACCACGACAACGACTCACAATCATTCCCTGATTTAATTAATGCGCTGACGCAAGCATCGTCAGCAGTGGCCAGACAGTTAGCAGTCAGAAGGAAAGCTAGGAACAGAAACTTCGGCAAGCCCTACGTATAGCAGAGAGGAACCTAATCAGCAATCCGGGCACAAATTTATACGATACCACAATAGAGGCGGCAAGGAGGGAGTTAGGGGATTGGGAACGCTGGAGTGCTAGGGGTATGCAGTTGAGAGCAAGAGTAAAAGAATGGGAAGAGGGAGAACGAATGACAAAGTACTTCTTTCAGAAGATTAAAACCAGAGGTAGGAATTCGCAAATTGAGCAGCTGGAAGGCCATCAGGGAGTGGTGTCAGATCCCGAAGGGTTGTTGTCGGTAGCCAGTAGCTTCTACACTTCACTCTATAGGTCTAGAGAAGGGGACCAGGATCCAAAACAGGTAAAGGAAGTTCAGAATAAATTCCTAGCCTATCTGGACCGCACGGTGAATGGGGACCAGGCGGCAAGGCTAGACACTCCGCTTTCGCAAGAAGAGCTGAGAGAGGCTTTAGATACAATGCCTCCAAACAAAACGTCGGGCAGGGATGGACTAACAAGGGAGTTTTGGCAGGAGTACTGGGAAATCCTGGGAGGGGAATACGAAGCCTTCTTGAACCAGGCATGGATCAACTAAGGCATGGGAATGGAATCATCAACAGGGGTAGTCACCTTATTGTACAAGAAGGGAAACCCCAGAGACATCAGAAACTAYAGACCGATTACGCTCCTGACACTAACACACAAGATAGTGGCCAAAGCATTAGCGAACCGCTTGAGGAGGCTAACGGCCAACTGCTTCCACTTGGATCAAACAGGCTTTATCCTAGGGAGATTCATCCTGGACAACGTGATGACTCTATCGGAATCGGTGAGGTACATAGCGAACAAAAGAATGAACGCGACCATCCTCTTCTTTGATCTCGAGAAAGCATATGACCAGGTCAGCTGGCCTTTTCTACAGCAATGTATGGAAAAAATGGGAGTAGGTCCCAACTTTCGCAAGTGGGTGAGAGTATTATACAACGACTCACACGGCCAGGTACAAGTCAACGGATATCTTTCAGATATATATAGAATGACTAGATCAGTGAGGCAAGGTGACCCATTAGCCGCCCCCATCTTCCTCTTTATCATGGAAGCCATAGCTTCATTCCTTAGGAAGGACCTTTCAATCGACCGTTCGATAGCAGAACCGGACCAGCAGGGGCATATAATAGAACTACCCACCACGATACTATTCGCAGACGATCTCACAGTACTTATCAGGGCCACGGATTCCTCTTTTCAAGCACTCACAAAAGCGATGGAAGCGTTCCAATTGGCATCGAAAATGAGAATTAACTGGCCCAAAACGATAGGATGGTGGCTCATATACGACCAGCAGCACCAGCAGCCCCAACCCCCTGACCATGGGGGAATGGAGTGGCTACCTCCACACCAACCGTTGAGGTATCTAGGGATTAGGCTAGCGGCCCCTGATCTGATGACCAAAATGCTAGCTAAGCTGGACGCATGGTCTAACATTTATACCTCCCTGTACGGGAGAGCCTTGGTCCTCAATGCTTCCATCTTCTCCATGCTATGGTATGCGGGCACCCTGTGGTCACCCCCAGGACCAGCACTTCGAAGGCTCCGAAGGGTTGCAGCAGCCTATTTGTGGACAGGGAACCCAACAAAGGGTAACTTCATTTCCAAGGTAGCCTGGAAACAGGTAACACAAACAAAGAATCGGGGGGGACTGGGCATTCTGGATCCCGAGCAGCAGTTTAAGGCACTCCAAACAAAATGGATTATCAAGCTAGTAACACAACCCCACTTGCGCTGGGTTCCCCTAGTATTGGAGCACATACGAGGGCTTGCGAAGTACTCAACTCCTCCAAATATGGAGGGCACCTTCTGGATATTCTGCAAAGGGTGGGCAAAAAGGGGTAGGACAAGGGAGCGGGGGGGTGATGAGGGAACTTCCTCCCCATCATACTGGGCCCAGATTCTCAGGATATGGGAAGAGATATTCCCAGCTAGAGTACGGAAACCTAGATCCAAGGAGGAATTCCTCAGGCAACCCTTGTTCTGTAACCCCTGGTTACAGGATTCCCAAGGGAAGCCGAGGACACTAACAACAAGGGATACCAGATGGGGGAATTGGTTGGAACACGGGGTCTGGCAGATCAAGCACTTATGGTCCCAGAATGACAATAGATGGAAGACGGGGAGGGAACTGAGAGCCACGATGAGAGGTTGCCATAAGCTCACGGAGAATCTAAACGACGTTCTAATCTCCATTCCGCAGGAATGCTAGCAGTTGTTGAGAGGGCTGTGCAAATGGGAGTGGGGTGATTGGGCGACCTGGCACATAAGTGCAGTTCCAGAGCAGGCCTTCCGGGTGCAGCAGGAAGTGGGCCCCGATAAACAGTGGCTGGATGCAGAGATGTTCGTAATTCGTAATCCGGGAATCACAGTGAGTCACCTGGATAAGGAATCCAAGACGGCAATCACAGTTAAGAAGTACCTTCTCAGGAAGATCAGGGTGGTAGAGGATGAAGAATTTACAGTATTTGCACCCACGGTAGCCATCGAAGATTTGGAGTACGACCCGACGGAATGGGCATGGAATATTAGGGCTGGAGAGACACGAGTGGCAACGAAGATCAACATTCTCCGCTATACAACGAGACTGGGTTATAGGCCGAGGAGAAGATCGACCCAACTGGATCTTCCCCTCGCCTTAAGATGGGAAAAGAGGGAGGGGATACCAAGAGACCAGGTGGGGAAGTTGTCCTGGTCGTCCCTTCACAATATAAGATTGGGTAAGGTCAGAAGTCAACAGTGGCTCATCCTCCACGTGGCCCTCCCAGTCAACTCTTGGTTATATGAAAGAAGAAGCAGGCAAGCTAGGACAGAGGAGGAACGGAATTGTCCCTTGTGTACGGGTGGGGCTCCGAAAACGATGGTCCACTGCTTAATCTCATGTCCGGAGGTAGAGAAGGTGTGGGCGTTAGCCCGCACACTATGGTCCCGGGTCACGAAAGTTCCATTCCCTCCGATCAGAGACAGACTCCTAATCAACATGGAAGCGCCCAGAGGCTGGAATTCCAGCCAAAAATACATTTTCCGGCTACTGAGGCTCTACGCGCTATGGACAGTGTGGAAACGAAGATGCCAAAGGGTGGTAGGAGAGAACCATATGACCATAATGGAAGCCAGAGGAACAATGTACAACCTGCTGGAAACAGAAATCAGAGCACAATGGCAGAGAGCCAAGAAGCAAGCGGAGAGGCAGGAGAATTTAAATCCAGATAAGGCTAAGGAATAATTAACAAGTTTCGGACAAAGGTTCTAGCAGGGGGCAAGGTGGCTTCATTGGAAGGGAAAGCCTTGCGCTTCCATTGGTTTAAGGATGATCTTCAGGACCCGCCATATCAGGATGAGAATGGGGATCAGGAGCTTGGACTACCATAAGCCACGGGAAGGAGGAACGGTCCACAGAAGAGAAGGCAAAGGGAGGGAACCTCAGACCCAGTTAAAATAAGTCTAACCTCGCAAGGACAGGACTGAGACACAAACGGGGCTAGGGCAAAAGAGAGGGAGCAGCAGGGAAGGGACGTACAGCCAGTTCGAAAGGAGAAGGATGTCAAGTACTGAAGGGGGAGAATAAGGGATAAGGGATACCAATTAAAGCGTCAGGGGAGGAAACAGGGTTTAGGGTTTAGGGTTTTACAACACCTAAAAGGCAGAGAAAGGGTTTATGGGGAATAGGGGGGAACACAGCTTTTGTGAAGGATTGGTAAAAAGAGGAAGGTAGGTTACAAGGCAGCAAGGGAGGATCTCTTCCTAGGTTTAACAGGGATTCCTGGCAGAGCTGTTAGGGAAGATCTGAGAGGGAAGAGAGACTCAAGGCAAGCTGATAGTCAATCCTCCACCAAGGGTGGACTAATCAATGCTGTTCAGGGGTCCTTCGGCCGGACGGGAGGAAGCGTGTGTTCTTAATCTGTAATGTATTATGCTGTGACTTGCCGGTGGAATAGTAACCGGACTGACACTCCCCAGAATAGAAGGAGCTGGGTTTATTTAAAAAAAAAAAAAAAAAAAGAAGAAGAAAGAAGAAGAAGAAGAAGAAGAAGAAGAAGA